CATAAAGAACTGTATTTATTCTCAGATGCATCAACTAAGGCCATAGGAGCTGTAAGCTACTTAAAGGCAGTCCAAGCAGATGGCAAAGTTGAGATTGGATTCATAATGGGCAAAGCAAAGTTAGCTCCTGTGTCAGAACCTACTATACCAAGACTTGAACTCTGTGCAGCCGTCTTGGCAGTGGAAATGGCCGACCTTGTTCAAGATGAGTTGGACTTGCACTTTGATGCCGTACACTTTTATACGGACAGTAAGGTAGTACTAGGCTACATCTGTAATGAGTCTAGAAGGTTTTATACATATGTCCATAACAGAGCACAGCGCATTCNGCCTGCCAGGTCTGACCGGCTTCCTCCCCCACCACCGGAGCCAACTCACCACCAGGTAGTGGTCAGTTGACAGCTACGCCCCTCTCTTCACCTGGGACTTAATATGGCCGACCCTCAGTGGGCACGCAGGGCGAGGGTGTAGCCACTGATTGGGAAAGACTCTGTTTTCTGTTCCAGCAGGTTCTCTTTCTTTACTTGATCCACGTCTTCCTGGCACGGTTTAACCGCCTGTTTCCACCCTGGTCTCTCAGCCATCACCGCTCCCCTCTGATGCACGTGACGGCCTTCCACCTCCAGCCTCAGCTCTCAGCGTTTAGCTTCCACCACCGCCTGCCGGTACACGCAGCGGCCCGTCGTCTCCAACCTTGTTTACCAAACTTCCTCTGCTGCTTACTTCTTATTAGTTAGAGGCAGGCTCAGATATAAACACTGAAGAATACAAGCATAGCAGATAATTATTTAATCAGAACAGCAACTTCAGTAGCATCCATTTACTTGTGTAAACACCATGTGACGTCACATCTTTATCTGTGGATCACATCAGGGCTGTGGACAGTTCACACTGGAGTCTGATGGAAGTTGCATTTAAAATGTAATGTGAACACTCATGCCAAAAAATCAGATTTTTTTAAAGTAGACTTTAACATTAAGACCTGCAGTGTGAACAAAGCCTTATTCTAAAGACGTGGTGAGAGCAGCTGCACCAGGGGGGGCTCAATCAGATATTTTAGTCATGGGGCCCAAATTTCCTGGTGGCGCCCCTTTCACCACCCACCCAAAACTAAAAACTGATTTATGGTCTGCTCCTGACAAGGAGAATCTTTTGTCCAGGATGATTTGCACTTTGACTAAATTAGTCATGGATTATTTTAATAATCGATTAGTCGTCGATTAATCGTGGCAGCCCTACCTCCAACACACAATGTACCCGACCCCTTTGGCCCCTCCCACAGGTGGCGAGCCCATGGGAAAGTTAGAAAATGAAAAACCCAAATAACTCAATTTCCTTCCAGTGACACAAAGTGTTTTTATTGCTTTTAATTGTACAAAAACAAAGTGCAGAAACACATGAAATAAACTACGAACAACAAACAGAATGCAAAGTAATGGAGACTGAAATTTGTGGAATGATGTTTTTTATCCAAAATAAAGATATTTATTTGATGACTTGATTTGTTTCAATTTGTTAACAGAAAAACAAAATGAAAATGATGGTATGAAGAATAATTTCAAGTTATTTACCTGAAGAAAACACAAATGTTTTTAATTCACAGCCACATGGTGGTGGAGGAAAGCAGCTCAAACACTCAGCTCAGATCCCAATGTTCAGGTCCTGAACTGTTTGGTACATTTTTATCGTGCTTTTAAATGATTAAGGCTATCACAATGTACAATGTAGATGGCATGTTTTGTAGAAAAAGAGTAAAATACACTTTTCTGAGCCTTGTTTCATTGAATTAAGTTTCCCAAATGTATCATATAGGTCACAAAATACAAATTAATGTCTCAAGGTAATTAGAAAAAAAGACCACCTGAATTCAAAGTTTCAAAACAAAATATCCCAGAGATTTGTTTTTTACTTGTGTTTTTTTAATCCAGTGTTTTTACCAAGGAGAAAAGCTTCCAGACCAGCATTTGGCCTTTAATGACTGAGAAACAAATGACCATCTTAGTGTTTCAGGGAAACACTAGAGATTTGGTACCACTGTTAAATTCAGAAAAGCTTTTAAAACAGCACTGAACAGGTTTATAAATAAGAGTGTGAAACAAATTTAACATTATTACAGTTTTCCTAGACTTTTTCTGCAGCTGCATCCAGAAAAGAAAGTCACGTCCTGAGGACGACACTGTCTGAGACATTTATAATATTCATAAAGAAACAGAAAACAACCTGATAAATGTGCTTCTTTGAATCGATTAAAATCACTCAGACTCCACACTGTTGGTTACTGGTTAAAAAAGAGTGAGAGTGGTTTCTAGTCCAGTGGGCTTTGGAAGATGAGCCTGACGTAGCCCCTCTCTCCGTTCAGAGGCTGGATGCAGAACGGGCAGGCGGCATGAAAAGCATGAGTTCCATGTGGCAGTGGGATCTGGCTCCAGTACATTGTTGTCTTCTCTGAGCAGACGTGGCCACAGGGGACAAAGGCGTGGGTGGGGGGCTCAGAATCTACGTAGAAGCCTGGCTCACAGCCTAACCACAGTGGAACATAGGGACCCCTGGCCCGACACATGGGGCACTCCCTGCCTTGGCACTCTGCACCCACGTCAGGGTCACGGTGCGCCCCCCAGCCATGGTGGCCGTGCACGTGGCCACAGTGAAGGTAGRCCCAGGGCTGCTTTTCATCCAGGACATGTTTGTGCCGCAGGCTGGGGAAGGCCAGAGTGTTTAGGCCAACGGGGCACTGGGGCCGTCCGGCGTTCAGCTCCTGCCTCAACGCCTCCAGGTGTTTGACTGTAGGGGTGCAGGCAAGACCCTCAGCAGTACGCCACAACAAGGTGGCGCCACACAGGTCGATCAGGGAACCATCCACCAGCTCGTTGGACTCACAATCAACCTGCAAAGCATTAAGAAGCCTTCCACATTATTTAACACCAGCAATGCACTATCATGGTTAAGATTATTTAGATAACCAAAGAGCTGCTGTTGTTCCAGATCAAAACATGAATAAATCAGCTTCTGAAAACATAAATWAAATATAACAGTTCCTCAGACTCAGTTTAAAAACAGACTATATTGTTGGAGTCTGTTTTACCATCAACAATTTACGGAGATTAAAATAGTGCAGTTCTCTTCATTCCTATTTGAGATTATCTCGACATAAACATACAGATTATTTTTTCAGTTGCATGATAATGAAGCTGGTCAGATTTAAGTTATTTCACTCCTCAGAGCAATCCAGAAAAAAAGAGTATARAACTAAGGATGTAAGTTATCAATTAATGAATTAATCTAAAGTTGATGGATCTCATGGATCTACTAATGATTAATTGATAAGTGGCCATTTTCTTAAAAACCTAACTTTTCTCTAATATCATGAAGGGTTAATGAAACATGAAACATGCTGACAAAAAATGAAGTAGATCATTATATTTTAACAAATTATTTTGCCAGCTGTATTAAATACTGCACAAATAAACAAAAAAATTGTGTTTTTCTCATGCACTATTAAACTTGGACATTTTTTTATTACTGGACATGTATATGTAAACCAAACAGATCTAAGTCATTATTAATCATGTTAGATCTAGGCCTGTCGCGATAGTCAATAAATCAATTAATCACATAATAAATTATTTTGAGGTCTATAAAAAATGAGGGCGATAATTTTCATTTTCCTGCTTGTTGGTTTACTTCATCTCTCTCCCTCTCTGTGCTCTGGTGCACAGGGGGCTCAGCTGACCCCTCCCCTCCTGTTTTCTTAGTGTGGGAGGAGTCAACTCCTTTAGCATGAGAGCTCGTAGCAACAACAAACTAAAGAAACTTTGATGGGATTCTGAAAAATGGAGATGGAATTGGTTTCGCAGCAGAAYGCGACAGCTGCAGTGTGGGAGCACTTCAGGCTCTGAAACTTTCTGCGGGGATTGTACATATTATGATCGATTTCCACAAATCTAATTTTTATARTGCAGGAAGTTCCCGCATAGAATAAAGTCCAGAGTTGTGTAATAATGTGGCCGTTTGCATCAGACTATCTTTAGATGACAACTAGTACAGAATAAACCTGAACACCTGTTCAGAAGCCAGGTTCTCACCAAACATGTTTGGACTAGGGTTGGGCATAATCGTATCGTGTGCAATTAATCGTCAGAAAAACATTAATCGATTAGTTTTTGTCACTTGACGATTAATACGATTAACACCACCAGGCGGACTGACTGGAGATTACTCCGGTCAGTAAGCTCGCTGCTCCTCTCTGCTTCAAATATGACGAACATTAAAATTAAAGTTCTGTAATTTATTTATCTATCAACAC